GTGGACTAACCATTGCAATCATTTAAAACAGCGTCCAAACATTGTAAGACACTTTTACAGGAGCCAAAATGGAGATCGTTGTGTGAAAATCCCCCATAGGAAACATCGCTGTGTGAGGCAGGAAATTTAACAGAAAAAGGCATCGTTGTGTGAATTCATTGTTGTGTGAGGCACTCGTTGTGCGAGGCACCACTGTATATATAACTAGTTATTTCATTTGTATACTAGTTATCTAGTTTCTTTTTGCATTAACTATGACATAAATAAGTTACGTTATGATATATGATCACAACTTAATATTTTAAAAAATGCATGCCTTTTACTTCAGCTGTTTAGTTGACTTTTACAGCCACTGGGGGATAGCCTACTAAAGGGTAAAGAAGAAAAATCACATGGTTGAAGCACATGGTTGTGCTCTGTCTACTTACAGTTTAAAAACTCTGTTCAGGTTTTTAAAATGTAACTAGAAGTAACTACTGTGGTTACTTTTAAGCACCAAAAAAACGAAGAGTCACATTTCTTAAACCTGTAACTCTTTGACAGTAACAATTATTCTGACAGTTTGAATAATAACAGCAACTAATTACCTTTTAAAAGCAACTTTCCAGCTCTACCCGGGAGGAGGTGCTACAAATTGCACAAGAGTAATGATCTTAACATAATGAGCGTAAGTGAGCCTTTGGCCAGTATGGGCAGCCTCTGACGCACAGGTCAGCTACTGTCACCAGAACCAGTAGTGCAGGCGAGAAGAGGAAAATAAATGAGTCACTTCAGGCCAAAGGAAGGAGGTCGGTTCGGGAGGATTACCTGGGCATATCTTCATCAATGGTGATTTCACAAAGATTCTTCTTGGCCTCCGTGTCATACAGGCGAACCGTCCCAACGCCACTCCCGAGCAACAACTGGAAACCAGAACGAAGGCAAAAGACAGCATGAAAGACGGCACACTCTGGTCATGACCAGAAATAAGAGGGGAACAAACCCTTAAAGTGATTACGGATGCTTTGGTAACCATTCTAGACTTTTACCATTTTAAACCCATCAGCTTACCAGCCTGTCTCGTTTCGTTGCCCATTCCAGGGAGAGCAAGGGAGACTTGGAAATGGAAGAGGCTTTCGTCTGCATGATGGGATTGAAAGACCACACCTTGATGACCCCATCCACATCCAAACTGGCCACCCTTCGACCAGAGCAATCAACCCTGAACAGAGAAAGGAATTATGTGATTGCCCTTCCAACAAGTGCCTTATTCTAAACAGGGAAATGCAGTTACGGGCGTGATATCTATGGCGGGATCGGTTCCAAACTCACCCACCCCTGCGGAGGCCAAAAACCATGGATGAAGCAAGTCCTATATACAACATAGTCTCTGGTTCCCTCTAGTGGCCAGTTCTAATAATACAATTTGGAAACACATTTCTGGGTTTTTTTTTTAATTCAATATTTTTAGGGAGTGGATAACTGAAACTGCAGGGACTGATTCTGCAGATACAGTGGTAGCACTTTAGCTGCCTTGGGTCCTTTTAAGGAGAAAGGCAAGGGTAGGGGGGGAGGGAGAGAGATAATACTACTTGATTGGTTACATCTAAGTAGGATATTTCAATTCACATTTCAGTAGCAGTTTTAATATCTATAAGCCTCATATCTATGGCGGGATCGGGTCCAAACTCACCCACCCCTGCGGATGCCAAAAACCATGGATGAAGCAAGTCCTATATACAACATAGTCTCTGGTTCCCTCTAGTGGCCAGTTCTAATAATACAATTTGGAAACACATTTCTGGGTTTTTTTTTTAATTCAATATTTTTAGGGAGTGGATAACTGAAACTGCAGGGACTGATTCTGCAGATACAGTGGTAGTACTTTAGCTGCCTTGGGTCCTTTTAAGGAGAAAGGCAAGGGTAGGGGGGGAGGGAGAGAGATAATACTACTTGATTGGTTACATCTAAGTAGGATATTTCAATTCACATTTCAGTAGTAGTTTTAATATATATAAGCCTCTGCAATCCTTCCAGCGTAACCACTCTACAGCATCCATTCATCTTGGGATGTGTGGGTTCTATAACAAAGTTCAGGTTTACAAGCGCAAGTTTAGTACTGCATCCTACAAGTCACAAGGGTTCTCCAATCGTCCTTCAGATCTTCCCCACGGGAAGCACCCCTTACCGGCAATGCATGATGGATGAGTGATGTTCCCCATATTCTTCCTGACTCAGGACAATGAATGGCTGCTCCTGTCTGATGCCCCCAGCATCCGTGCTGGAGCCAAAAGCTTTTGTTAGGACTTCTGCCTGCTCAGCGTGCAACTCAGGGGAGGGGTCTGGTTCAATGGTGCTGGACTCCGTCTTCCTCTCAACGTTCTGTCCCTAAACCAAGAGAAGGACCCTGCATATAGTACAGCAAGCCAGGAGAATTGGTTAAGCTACTCACGTTCATCTCACCATCTTAAAGAGTTTGAGGCATCCAAGGCCCCTCAGCACCAATTCAGCAGGTAAAACGTTACCAGGCTCTTTAGTTTACCAGTCCCAGTCCATAGCCTTGCCAAGACCAGGCTGTGGAGACAAATCTCCTGCCCCCACATGCGTAGACAAATGCACACTCCTCCCACACACACACGGACCGCCCTCCCCACACACATGCTAAACCAGTCCGTGGAGGCAAAAAGTTTGAGGACCACTGGTCTAGAGAAAAGGTGCCTGAGGGGGGACAGGACAGACATATAAAATGATGCAAAGGATGGATAAAGTGGATAGAGGGAAGCTCTTTTCCTTCACACATGATATTACAACCAGGTGATACCCACTTAAATTGAGTGTTGGGAGAGTGAGAACAAAGAAAAATATTTCTCTACCAGGCCAAATTTTAGCTATCAAAATATTTCTTTACCCAGTGTGTTGTTAGTCTGTGGAACTCCTTGTCACAGGATGTGGTGATGGCATCTGGCCTAAAAGGGGATTGGACAGATTTCTGGAGGAAAAGTCCATGGCAGGTTACAAACCACGATGGGGATGTATAGGCTTAAAAGGAAGGTACCTCCAAATGTCAGATGCAGGAGACAGGTATCTAGTTGTCTCGTGTGCTCCAAGAGGCCTCTAGTGGGGCCACTGTGAGGGACAGGAAGCTGGACTAGATGGGGTCTTCGTGGCCTGATCCAGCAGGGCTCTTCTTATGTTCTTATAGAACAGTGCTGAAGCAGGAAACAGGTGGAAGAACTGCTCTTTCAATTACTTTTCAATATTAAAGGACACAGAGAGTGAGTTCAACAATGAGGGACAGGAAGCTGGACTAGATGGGCCCTCGTGGCCTGATCCAGCAGGGCTCTTCTTATGTTCTTATAGAACAGTGCTGAAGCAGGAAACAGGTGGAAGAACTGCTCTTTCAATTACTTTTCAATATTAAAGGACACAGAGAGTGAGTTCAACAAAGAACTGCAGGGGGACAGATACTGCTTCATTCACTGCAGTAATCCATGCTGGGGGGGTCAATGGTGAGGCACCCAAACCTGCTAATGACACTTAGAGGTTCAGGGTGGTGAGAGCAGACCAACATGCTCCAAAAGAGGTGTTCATTTTTGCAAAATAAACAGCAGCCACTGAACCCATATGTCTCATTTTATGCACTGTACATGACACATACGTGCACACTCTCCATATTTAGAAACAAAAGCATAGTGAAGAGCTAGTTTAGCCCAAGCAAGGTAATTCTGGGATCCCATCTGATGGGTGGATGGATAGCTCAGCAAGGTAACAAGGTGAAAAAGGTGAATTCAACATGCAAAAAAGACAGGAAAGACACTAAGAATAAGAATAACAGGCATCATAAGTTTTACATAACTTTACACCACGCATGTAGAGCATATTGAACAGTTTCAGATCGCTCAATCTTAAAAATACTGAAGACCCAAAGAAAAGGAAAGGCTAGTTAAAGTTATTCTCCAATTTCTAAGGTTAGTTTCTCAAATATGTTGAGTTTGAAGGAAGTTTGGTTTCTAGTTCTTATGCTACTGAAGCGCGTTCACAGCTGCAAGATATTTATATGCAGGGATGGCCTGTACTGTGAGCAGGAGGGCAATGAACCCCAATGTGATGGAGCGAGGTGCCTCACTCTGTCCCAGCCACAGTCTGCCAGCGATGATATACAGCAAGATCAGACTGCTTTCTGCCTAAGACAAAAGCAATGCTATTAGAGATCTAAGTCGAGATGCTTTGGAATAATAAGATACTGCCTTTGGCTGACAAGAGAGAAAAGGCAATTACCTACATTTCATTATATGATGGACAGGTAACCAAGACGCCTATTTCTTCCTAGCGGAAAAATATTTCTGACCCATGGATCCTTCCCCGTAACTCTCTACGCCTTCCAAGCACATGAACAGGGCTTGAAAAAATGCACTTGTCCACTCGTCTGTGACAAGTGAAAAAAATGCTGCTCGACGAGTCACAGTTCCCTCCCTGCCTGCCTCCTTCCCCTCTGCCTCTCTCTCATCCTGCAGTCCTCCCCTCCCCCCTTCCATTCCAAAAGGAAAACTGCCCTCTTCTCGTGAGGGTTCGAGCGGCACATAGAGATACAGCTTTGCAGGAGAATGTAGAGTAGTCCCATGCTGGAGAATATGGAGATTCTCTGCTCCCAATTTCAACCAAAGGAGGACACATCCTGGGGTGGGAGGGAACCGTGGCTCCTTAAGAGGCCAGGCATTTTGCTTTCAGTTTTATTTTTGCTGGAGACATTCAAAAGAAAGGCATTCAAAATACAAGATTCATGACCCCACAGGCACACAGGTAATAAAGCAACCTAAGTCTGAGGGTATAAATCAGTGATTCCCTATCTTGGGTCACCCAGATGCTAAAACTACCAGGCATGTTCAAGGACGCAAGTGCAACACCTCTAACAGCAATGCATTTTCTACTAAGAAGATATAGGCAACTACTGCGTACATAATACAATTTATTTTGGGTTTGTACACATTGTTACATAGAAATAAAAGTGAACAAGTGTCAAGTTTAAATTTGTTAACATAAACTGCAAGGCTATAGTCTGGTCATGCTGACTGGTGAAATTTTTGACTGACTGGTGAGACATTCTAAAAAAAATTTCAAGCTCTGCACATGAAAGAAAAACCTGTTTTCAATTCTGGATAGATGATGTTGAACTTGAAAGGCTAATAATTTTTTAAAAGGTGAAGTGCTCTTTAGCAGAACACTTCTTCTCTTGATGGGAAATGCTCTGTCAATTTCACATACTGCAGCTGGCCACTCCGTGCACAGCAGAACCACAAAGCAGCAAGTGGAAGCAAACACCTGAAGTGCAGAAAGAAAGAAAAACAAACTCTGGACAAACCATGGTGGTTCAGACCACTCTGGGGGAAAGGGAGGATACCGTTGTTCCCGGCTCAAGCCTCAGCAGAAAGCGTCAGCAGGCAGAATGAGGGCTGCTAACCCTTTAAGCCTTGCTCACTGCAAATGAATGACTCATTAAAAATCAGTAGGGCATTCCATTAAATGCTTATCTACACGTGTGTCTCCTCTTTCAGAATGCTCAACCTGGGTAATACTACAACATCTGCACCTGTTTTACAACACATAAAAATACACGGAGGAAAACATTATTATCTCATAGTTGAATCAATTCAAGGCACCATCCTCGTTACCTGGGAGGCTGTTTTGGATAAAAGCTCTTTTCTCTCTTTCCCGTGATCCTGAAGGCGTCGCTGACGCTGCTGAGCCGAGCTGGATTCTGCCACTGCTAGGGCGCTAAAGAGACTTTTTGATTCCTTGCAGCCAATTGCCCCTTCCTTCCCTTTGGTACTCTGGAAAGGAAAGGAAAGATCAGTCAAATTTTGGGGCTCCATGCCTGAACTAGCAGCTCTGGTACAGCACAAATGCAGGAACAAGAACTGGAGTGGTGGCCAGTCAGGTACATCATCATTTCTCTCTTTCTCCCTTAAACCCCTCATTCTACTCCCCACCATGGAAACAACATAAGAACTGTGAGAAAGAAGTGACGTGTTCCTTGCCATCTTCTGTCTATAAACTGTGAAGAATCCTGGACAATCTGAGGCCCTGCAAGAACCTTTTTGGTGCTTCCCTGGATGGCTATTCCAAAAGTGCATCAAAACACCCGTGTTTCAGAGGCTTTTGGCTTTAATATAGGCAAGCTATCATTCTACTAATGGATCAGTCAAGATGAGGCATTCAAGAAATGACCAGGAGTTGATCTAACATGAAAAGAGGTGGCAAGTAATACCAGATTACAAAATCAATCTAGCATTATGCAAATAATTCAAAACCGAACAAATCCCACCCTATATGTAAAGCCTAAGCAGATACTGAACCTAGTTCCAAATTGAGAGGTTAAATGATGGAAGGAGGCCTACCATTTTTTTTACCGTCATCAGAATAGTTATGACATAAATGTATATACCCTTCTGCTCTCTTCCTTACCTGGTGGCCCACCTGCTCTTTCTTGCCCAGTTGTGTCACGCCTGTTGGTGCAGAGATGATTCCTGCTGTCGGTGTCACTCTAGAGGCACCCTTTTTATTCTGAGACAGAAAAGAAGACAAGAATCCCCCTCGGGCCTGGAGAGAGTGCGCAGTGCTTCTTTGGTTACATGTTATGTCACTGAGGGTAAGAGAGAAGCAAAATGAAAGGCAGTTACCTCGAGAGTCCACACCAGAGACCCCCAACTCAAAGACGTCACAGGCGTTCAATTACTATAGCCAAACTCCAAATACTGTGTCATGCTTGTGCAAGTCTAAGTAAGACACAGAGTCAAACTGCCACTCATTAAACAGGTGTTGGTTGTGTTCCTGGGTGCACGCCCTCACACACATCCAGGAACATAACCAGCACCACGCTGATGAGCAGCAATTTGCCACCATGACTTTACACAAACACAAATCAGCAATTGGCATAAAGCCTATAATGACTGAAATCCTGTTAGCACACAGTTTCCAGAACGTTTCCTACTTCTGTCCAATGGCTCCTACAGCTCCCATGTGATTCCTTTAATTCGTGCAGAAGCCATGGGACCTGCAGGATGGGAGGAGGATCTCAATTACCAAAACAATCTCTGCTACAAGGATGATGTAATTTGTTGTAGGTTTTTTGGGCTGTTTGGCCATGTTCTGGAGTGAGACACTACACCAGAGCACAGACAGAGTTCTAACTCATGTCCTCTGAAGATGCCGGCCACAGAGACTGGCAAAACGTCAGGAAGAAAAACCTTCAGAACACGGCCAAATAGCTTGAAAAACCTACAACAACCATCCAATCCTGGCTGTGAAAGCCTTCAAGAATACATGATGTAATTTGCAAGTTGTTCACACACGGTCAAGCTTTTGCTCAATTACCATCATCTACCCTCCTCACTGGTTATGTAAGGCATCTTGCATGCAGAAGGATAATCGCTTGCAAAACCTCAGACCCCCTTTTTCTTCCAATCTGTTAGGACTCTGGGAGTGAGCTCCACCAAGAGTAAGCACAGACAGGAATGCTTTGTGAATTTCACAAATATTTCAAAATACTACAATCTGATCTGTTAACTCCCTTATAAACAATGCAATTCATGCTGTGGAAGCAGTGAGCTGTCTGAGTTTGGTAAGAGGGTAAGTTCAGTTCCCCTTAATGTATTATCTGCATGTTGCCTTTCTCCGCATAAGGGACCCAAGAGGACTCACAACAACTAAACTATAAAACAATTAATAAATGTGGATTAGGCAGGAGGTTGAATGGCTAAAAGCTTCTGGAAATCTGACACACCTATTGATTCAGATCATCAGATGTATGTCCTCCAGAGGTTTTAGAGTACAACTTTCACAATCCCTGACTCCTATCCAAACTGGCTAAGATTTCTGGAGGTATAGTTCAAAACCAGGCTACCTATCCTGGAGATCTTCATAGCAAAGGTCTCTTTTTTGCTTTGGCAGCATGCAAAGCTACATATAATACAAAATGCAAAGCCACTCATACTGAGTGTGACCATTACCGCCACATCCAATTATTCTACCAAGCACACACGTTCCCCTATAAACAACAAAGCATACATACACAGAAGATCACAGTCTCACAAAAATCAATGTTACTCTTATGCACCACAATGCTAACACTAGGAATATTTGGGCTCCTCCTTCTTTATATCAAAACTAGGACACCTGAAGATAAAAGGGCCAACATTAAGCAGATTCTCATTTACAAGCAATTTGCCCAAGATTAGAAGTTTCATGCAGTGCCTGTTGCTCCTGACATGTACAGCCATGTCAACATAGTCCCAAAGAGAAGCTGTGGCAAACCTCAGAATACAGCCACAAGCCTAGATGACTTGTCCGAAACAGGCAAATAAATTCACTAACAATCAGAACTTCTAGGTTTGAGCACGTCGTCTGATGCTCAAAAGCAGTAAATTGGCACGGATGAGCTTTCTAAACAAACTATTCTTACAATCAGGCCATGACAATGTAACAACTGGAAAAACATGGATCAAAAGTTCCTAGAGAAAGCTATTTCATATATGATTTTTTTTAATATAAAAAGATTATATCAAGCAGTTTTGCAAGAACCCAAAATGGGAGAGGTGGTGGAAAGCGGATGCTCAATAATTTTTGTGAACATTTTTCTCATTTAAACATACAGATCTCCAAGGCTGCCTGTCCAAGTTTGCCAACATGCAACCAACTGTTAAAGTGCCAAGGTCCATTTCTGTCATCCAACCGTGCAGTTACCCGACACAGGCTCTCTTATATAGACTCACAGCTCGGGGTCCATTTCTGTCATCCAACCATGCAGTTTTACCCGACGCAGGCTCTCTTATATAGACTCACAGCTCGGAGTCTCCCAGATGGTCCATGTTGGCCACATAGGAAGGAAGCTTGTGAAGAGGTATCAATTCCTCGTCCTCCGGGTATTGTTGCTGTTGTTCCTCTTTCTTCAGTCGGGAATGCTCTGCTTGCAAAGCAAACAGCTTAAAAAAATGGCAGAGGGGAGGAAGAGTATAAGAACAGAGCAGAACAAAATGCAAAGCCTGGGAAAGTTACTTTTATGGACCAAAATGCCCCAAATCTGCCAGCAGCATAGCCACTGGGGAATTCTGGGAGATTTAGACCAAAACAGTAACTTATCCACACCCTGTGACAGCTTTATGTAATAAGTAAGCCTAAAATCATAATTGGAGAGCCTATGCAAATCAGGATTAGTAGGTCAATGACAACAACAGAAATTAGTCCAATGGCAATTTAAGGTGCTAGCTTGTTTAGGCATGCTCAAATACAGCTCCAGATTTGGACTTCATGAAATCCATCATCCTTCTCATGCACACATAGTTTATTTAGCCAGAATTCCTGGCTTGATGCGACTTATGAACATAGCCAGTGAGTCAATTTAAATACCAAAACCAGAGCCTGGAAGGTACTTTTTTGGACTACAACTGCCAGAATCCCACAGCTAACATGACTCTGGGAATTGTAATCCAAAAACTAATTCTCAAGCAGTGATTATTTAGACAGTTTATTTAGACAGAAGCTAAAAGAATTGGCCCCTTACCTTTTGACGCAGAATTTCATTTTCTTCTTGCAAAAGACTACTTCTCTGGCACTCTGTCTCAAAGTTCAAGATTACCGGCACAGGTAAGAAAAGTTAAGGATGAAAAAAAAAAATTAAATCTCTAACTAAAGTCCTTTAAAAAAAACTAACTGCCTGCAAGGCATCCAAAAATTGGTCAGGTTCCGTGTGAAGTCACAGAATGTTTACAAACATTATAGAATACTGAAACACAGTGAAGCTCCTGTGCTAATCTGGATACAAGAAAAAGAAAAACCCTATAAATTCTGCAAAATTAACAAAGCAACTATGTGCTGCTGGAAGAAAGCATAAAACTTTTCTTTGGAGGCAGGAAGACTCTGAGCCCAAAATGTAAGGGAGCAGGGATGCAAAAGAAAGGGCAAGAGAAAGCAAACAATCAAACATAAACAAAAAACCCCCTCCCAACTCTTGATTTGTATTTAAATCAGTCAAATCTTGAGCTGGAGATATATAATTTAGTTAGAGCAGATCAGCATGTGTGGATTACCCTCTAGAGTCTAGACAATATAGCCTGTACAACATGATCATCTGCTAAAAAACTACATGATATGAACCCGTGACTTACAGAAAATGTAAGCAAGTCAGAATAGCAAGCTATTCTCACTAACACAAACAAACAAAATCACAGACTCCTATCTCCTAACAAGAGAGAACTAGAGCATGCACAAGGTGCTGCTAAAGATTGGAACTTGCCATCTCACATCTAAAAAGGATATGCATGCATTGAAATAAGACACTGAGGAAGTTGTGCAGGGAAACAATTCTCACTAACACAAACAAACAAACAAAATCACAGACTCCTATCTCCTAACAAGAGAGAACTAGAGCACGCACAAGGTGCTGCTGCTAAAGACTGGAACTTGCCATCTCACATCTAAAAAGGATATGCATGCATTGAAATAAGACACTGAGGAAGTTGTGCAGGGAAACAATGAAAGTGTCTGCCCACTGGCGGGAAAAATACGAGGCAAAGGTAGGATTTGTATCTGGATTCAAGACGAAAGGCAGGGCAAACCAGTCCTTCCACTCAGCCTGGTTCTGAAGTTCAGAGCCTTGCTTGAGAAAGAATTCCTGCGTCTTATCGTTCCTGTTGGTCTAAAATACAAGAAAGCAAACAGAGACTCAGATTTTAGTTTCTGCTGCCGCCACCCCCACAGCAGCATCTCCGAACACAGGTTTCATTGCTTAATGTGTCCATCAGAAGAGGAAAAAAGAGGTAAACGGTGCTTGATCAGACCAGATTCTGTTCTTTTAACAAACCTGTATAGTGTGAACGAGGTAGTAGCGGTATAAACTGATTAAACACAGCTTTCATTGCTTAATGTGTCCTGAACTCAATCGCATCAGAAGAGGAAAAAAGAGGTACACGGTGCTTGATCAGACCAGATTCGGCTCTTTTAACAAACCTGTATAGTATGAACGAGGTAGTAGCGGTATAAACTGATTTTCAGCTTGTTTACTGTTGGTCGGTACACATCCTCCAACCGACTGAAAAGACGCCTGTCAAGGTAACTCCAGTAATCCCGAAGGGCAGCCAGATCATAGCTGTGCACAAACTGCAAAAGCTGGTCCACTATTTTATCCACCTGAAGACAAACAAGGGAAGGGAGAGACAGAGGAAAGAGGGGAAAAGTTTGAGCTGATCTGTCACCAAAAGTTGCCAAAACTACAACTACCTATAGAAATGCAGAATAGATTTTGTTCCAAAGCTGGTCCAAGACATTTTGCTGCCAGAACAAGATGGTCCCCCTTCCCATTCCATGCAGAAAAGCCCAACAGACTGGCAGTTCTGTTGTTCTTCAGCGCTGGCAGCTGGCATCTTCCACCCGTTCTGAAGGCAGCAGGCTAATTCAAGAGAGTCAAGAACAGGCTGCATGGAGCACAATTCTCTCTTCTGACACTTGACTGCCATGCTCCAGCACTTTGTGCTTGGGGCAACCATCTCACTTCTGTCTATTGGTAGGGCCAGCTCTATTTTACGGTACTGTAAACAGAAACCAAGGGAAGAGGAAGAAGTCCTTGCACTGTTGACCAAGATTTTCCATGCAGATATTCCTTCCCAAAACATAGTTTTGATTGATATTTCCCATTTGTCACTTCCAGACCAAACATTTTATCACTCACCCATTTTATCACTTACAGTCATGTCTTTTTCTGTGAAACAACTAAAAATAAAAGGTTGTTCTCAATGGAACATTTCCTTCCCATTTCCAAAAGGAGGTATTCTTTCTCTACAGGCTCCGTGAGAGGCTATCTAATTTACCAGTCTATCCAGCAGCAAGATTCCAGTTTAATGGCCAGTCTTCCCAGTTCAAAGGTTCCACAATTCAGTGATTTTAACCCTGAATTAGAAGCCTGACTTTTTGCAAGAGAGTTGTCTGAATCAGGGCTAACAAGGTGAAGATGGAAAGAAGCAGAGTGAGGAAAACCACAGAAAGCCAGACAATGTGAGGACGGCACCACATCATCAACTTAACGGGAGGTTATGCAAATGTAACAGCCATTGTAATATCAGAATGAACTCAAAGGACTTAGCCAATGGGATATGTTACAGTGGACCCTCTACTTACGGAATTAATCCGTATTGGAACGGTGGCTGCAGGTCGAAAAGTCTATAGGTCGAGTCTCCATTGACCTACAATGCATTGAAAATCGATTAATCCCATAACAGGCCGTTTTTTTTCCCCTCCATTTTTGTTCCATTTTTGTTTTTTTCTGGTCTGTAGGTCGATTCTCTGGCTGCAAGTTGAACCTAAATTTTGCGGCCAGAGAAGTCTGTAACTCGAAAAGTCTGTAAGTCGAGCCGTCTGTAAGTTGAGGGTCCACTGTATGACCTGAAGAATATAAGGAAGCCAACCTCCACAAACAGCATGAAGTAGGACTCGGCAATAAAACGTAGCAAAACTTACAAGGGTCATAATAATAAAAATAATAATAGTGTGTTGTCAAGTCAATTCGAACTTATGCCGACCCTTTTCAGGGTCTTCCCAGTAGAGGATACTCAAAAGTGTTTTACCATTCTCTTGTTCTGGGAGTATTGTGGGACTGTGCCGCTTGCCCAAGGCCTCACAGGTTGGCTCTTCTCCCTGGAGACACAGTGGGAAATCAAACTCCCAGCCTCTGGCTCCTCGAACAGATCCCTAAACCACTGACTTATGTAGCCAATATGACAAGGGTCATATGTTTGTGCATAATTTTAACCATACTGTATATGAAAACATAATTTCAGCGACTGTGTAGCCAATGAAAGTAACCTGCATTCAGATCCAATTTTTACATCCAAGGTTCCATCTAAGACGTGCAACTGCATGTGTGTGTGTGACTCTGCCTCCCTTGGCGCAGGTTTTCTCCTCCCCACAGACCTTTTGATTCCCATTGAGTCAGAATCCTCTGTGTAGGGACGTGGAGCTGCGCACACATGCAGGGAAGACATCGTGTGTGAGAGAAGCGGAGCTCTGCCCAACAGGGCTGAAAAAGTTACATCATTTACATTTAGAAATCTAAAAGGCGGGGCAACTATATCCATTGTAAAGAATTGCTGTACAGCAGAAATCAAAGAGCCCATGGGACTTACTCCAGTCCATCCATTTTGGGCTGTTTCAGACAGAGCCTTTGGAGCCAAAACAGCCCTATCTGGAAAACACAAGAAAGCCATATGTTTATCAGGGCCTCTGGTAACCATATGTATACTTTGCTGTGAAGAGGTACAAGTATGCTTATCACATCCCATTTTTTCATTTTTTTATATGAATTTCCATTCTGTTTACACACACACCTAACATCTTCTACCATCCTCAGGCATCTATGGCAATGAATACAGTTTCTATAAGCAAACAACATTTGTGTTTGTGATTTTCAAGAGGGGCATGAAAGCACCTGTACTGTATTAGCCATAGACATACTGAGAGCCACCTTACACATTACAGGTGTAGGGGATGAGAATATTTTAAGGAGCTGCATCTTTGACAAAAAGGCATGAGAATGGAACTATTTAAACAGCAAATATTGCTGTTTAAATTGTTCCTTTTAATTCTGGTTTTTATGCTATTTTATTGAAAGCCATCCAGAGTAGACACAGTCTAAATGGGCGGGGTATAAATTTAATAAATAAATAAATAAATCTGCAAAATTATGTGAGCGCAGATATGTATGGCACCATTTCTATCAGTTCTGGATTAGTCTTATCTCAGAGATAAACATACATCTTAGTAAAGGTAAAGGTCCCCCTTGACAATTTTTGTCCAGTCGTGTCCGACTCTAGGGGGCGGCGCTCATCCCGCTCTTCAAGCCATAGAGCCAGCGTTTGTCCGAAGACAATCTTTCCGTGGTCACATGGCCAGTGTGATTTAGACATGGAACGCTGTTTCCCTTCCCACCGAGATGGTACCTATTTATCTACTCGCATTTGCATGCTTTCGAACCGCTAGGTTGGCGGGAGCTGGGACAAGCAACGGGCGCTCACTCCGTTGCGTGGATTCGATCTTACGACTGCTTGGTCTTCTGACCCTGCAGCACAGGCTTCTGCGGTTTAGCCCACAGCGCCACCACGTCCCTGTTCCTAAAATAAATTTTCATGCAGCTTTCATTTTTCAAAGTTGACCAGGACAGAATAAACAGGAGAAGGAACCTATATGTTGAAGAACTATGCAGAATACATGCAAGTATGACAGATTCCTTTGAAGAAGAGTCCTATGATTTAAAATGTGAAGTTTTAGATAACAAAGTGAAAGCCACTCTCCAGTCACTTGTAAGAAGTAAAGCACAAGTAGATATTATGCCAGAAGAAAAATTCCAATCTACGTATATCAGATCTAAAATATGCCAACAAATATGCAAAAGAAAACTATGGCCCACAAACTAGAAATATTCAATATACATGGCAATTTCCATGAGAGGAGACATCAAAGAGTGCAGCAATTATAGAACCATTGCATTAATTTCCCATACAAGCAAAGTGACCTCAAGGTTTTGAAACAAAAAATTCACTATATAAGGAGCAAAATGTGTGATGTTCTAGACAGATTCTGAAAAGGAAGAGACAACAGAGATCATACTGAAAATATATATTGGCTATTACAGCAAAAAATCAACCCTGAGTGGTCACTGGAAGGACAGATCCTGAAGCTGAGGCTCCAATACTTTGGCCATCTCATGAGAAAATAAATCAACTAAAGGACTAAACAACAGCAAATGCAGCATACCAGAGAATTTCAGGAGAAAGTCAGTTTGTGCTTTTATAGTCTATGGCAAAGTATTTGAATGCATTTATCATAAAAAGCAATGGATTATCCTAAATGAAATTGGTGTGCCTCAGCAAATCAAGACTGAAGTCTCCCTAGAAACAAATACTGTATTATTATAATGAGGCTATCATACTTTGACCACAGTATAAGAAGATAAGACTCACTAGAAAGATCAGTAATACTGGAGAAAGTTGAGGCAGAA